CATATGTTTTGCCGTGAACCTCCTTTGTCTAAATTTAGTTCATGATCAACCCAAAGGCACTAGAAAGGTTTGAAGGAAGGTTTGGTTAAATTTTAAATTCTATTCTTCCTATGTTTGTTTATTTGGGTTTTATTCTATACTGATCTAACCAAAGAAGGTCTAGTTTTGCTTTGGTTTAGTTTGTTTTGCTAATGCAGGTAAGATCAGATTATGGCATGGTCAATAAATAGGAACTACGTGTGGCTTGATCCCTTCCAAGGGTACGTAGGCAGCCTTCTTCAAGGCGCAGCTACTACAACATCAACGACCATCATATGAGGAGACAACACAGCCTGTATCGCTCAGCTCAAGGACGGCTACATCAAGGGAGATCGGACGAAGCACATTCTACCAAAGTTCTTCTTCACGCATGACTTGCAAAGGGATGGAGAAGTTCGAGTGGTACAAGTTCAATCCTGTGACAATTCAGCCGATCTATTCACCAAGGCATTACCAACATCGACATTGAGGAAGCTCACGCATCAGATCGGAATGCGGAGACTTAAGGACTTACAGGGATGACCAAATCAGGGGGAGTAATACGTGTTGTACTCTTTTTCCTTCACCATGGTTTTGTCCCAATGGGTTTTCCTGGTAAGGTTTTAATGAGGCAGCATCCCCAAGCGTATTACTGAGATCCTTTGGCATCTACACGGTTATGTCATCCAAGGGGGAGTGTTATAAATCACATATTGGATGGACTCCATAACCGTGGGCCTAATCCATATCCTAGAAGGCCCATGTCCATGTTCTTGAAGATTCTCCTTATGACGGCCTATTTTATACTTAGTGGACTTTTGGGCTTTAGGGTTTACTAGCCCAATGGGAATTTGTCTCCCCTCATCATGTATATATATGTATCGAAACCTCATTCATTAATCAATAGAACAACAAGTTTTATAACAGAAAGCTCTTTTAGTTTTTTTATTTTTTTTCCTCTAATGGGATTATCAAGTTTTTCTTAGATATGTCTTTCAACTAAAAGAACACAAATTTAGATAGACACAAAAATTAACTAATGTGTACACTAATCTATACATTTAGGTAAATAAATATTTTAAGGAATTAAAAAATATACAAGTGGGAAAGTGTCTTTAGTTAAGTGGTTAACGGTCTACTTTTCCCCACCAAAGTTCGACTCCAACAAATCGTGTTACCAGCGTAGTAAGGATTGAGGTATGCGTCCGATTTTGTCAACCCAATGATGTCAAAAGAAATATATATATATGAGTAGAAAAATAATATAGAGTAAACTTAATACATATAAGAATAGGAAAAACTAAATATTTGAAAATATGTGAAAAACAATCAATTGAAAATCGAATAATAACATAATAGAAAAACAAAAATAAAATAAAACTGTTAAGCGTTTCTCTTGATGCTCTCGCGTCAACGTTTTTAATCTCAATCTTTTTTTTGTGGGTGGTTTATAATTTTGTTTTCCATATTTTCAAATTTTTTTTTTCAACGGTTATAAAATATTACTAAAAAGCCTAATATAGGAAGGTTCTAATGTAATCTTAATATCTATACACTTTTATATCTTACTATACAATTTTTACCCTACTGTATGTGCTCTTAGACGTAAACAAAAAAATAAACTCTATACTAACCAGCCCCTAAAAGCTACTAAGCTCAATTCAATAACACCACTAAAGCTCCAGTGTCTCGAAACACCAAATCAAAACTCTCGTGACCTCTCTCCCTTCCTCACGTCACAAAGATCTAAACCAAGGAAGCTTCCTATTCAGTTAGCTGATGGTGCAGCTTGGTGTGTAACACATGTAGGGGTCAATATCAGTTGGAAATTTGTGGTAGGATCTTGACTCACCAATATCAGCTTGGTGTGTAACACATGTAGGGGTCAATATCACCCCCATTATTCATGTGATTTTGAACATATATGTGAGAAATGTCAAAGTGATGTGATTCCAATCCAAATTATACATTAGAAAAGTCATCTAACGTTGATTTCACTTCAATGAAAACTTCACTTAGCTCCAACTTTTTCCACTATGCAAAACTACATCCTATCCTTATTTATTTAAACTCATCCCCTCCCACATTTCTATATCAAAATCCATTCTTTCTTAAAAAGTTTTCATCATGTCTGAACCGCTTTTGCGTTTGAATTTTCTCTCGCTACTCTTACTCTGTTGTGTCTCCCCTTCAAGCTCCTTCACTTTTAATAACCCTGTAGTTGGTCAAGGTGCTTGTGGTCTCCATCAGATTCAAGCCTTTACACAGTTCAAGAACGAGTTTGATACTCGTGCTTGCAACCATAGTGACTCCTTGAATGGGGTGTGGTGCGATAACTCCACGGGCGCGATCACGAAGCTACGACTCAGGGCCTGTCTCAGTGGAACTCTGAAATCTAACAGTAGCCTCTTCCAGTTTCATCAGCTCCGTTACCTTTATCTCTCTTTTAACAACTTCACCCCCTCTTCAATCCCTTCCAAGTTTGGAATGCTCAACAAATTAGAGGTTTTATTTATTTCCAGTGGTGGCTTCCTCGGCCAAGTTCCTTCCTCATTTAGTAACCTAAGCATGCTTTCTGCTTTGCTCCTTCACAATAACGAGCTCACTGGTAGTTTATCATTTGTGCGGAATCTACGCAAGCTCACAGTTTTAGGTGTTTCTCATAATCACTTCTCTGGAACTCTAGATCCCAACAGTAGCCTCTTTGAGTTGCACCACCTCACTTTCCTTGATCTCGGTTTCAACAACTTCACCTCCTCTTCACTCCCTTATGAATTTGGCAATCTCAACAAACTAGAGGCCTTGTTTCTTACCTCTAATAGCTTCTATGGTCAAGTTCCTCCCACAATTAGTAACCTAACCCAGTTAACCGAGTTGAAGCTTCTCTCGAACGACTTCACTGGTAGTCTCCCACTTGTACAAAATCTAACCAAGCTCTCCATTCTAGAACTTTCTGATAATCACTTCTCTGGAACCATCCCTTCTTCTTTCTTCACTATGCCTTTCTTATCCGATCTTGGTTTAAATGGAAACAATCTCAACGGTTCATTTGAAGCTCCTAACTCCTCCTCCTCATCAAGGCTAGAGCATTTGCACCTAGGTAAAAACCAATTTGAAGGAAAAATCCTAGAGCCTATCTCAAAGCTTATCAACCTCAAAGAGCTCGAACTTTCTTTCCTAAACACAAGCTACCCAATTGACTTAAGTCTCTTCTCCTCTCTCAAATCTTTGTTGCTCCTCGATCTTTCCGGTGATTGGATATCTCAGGCTAGTTTAAGTTCGGATTCATACATCCCATCGACCTTGGAAGCGTTGGTTTTGAGAGACTGCAACATCAGTGATTTCCCAAACATCTTAAAGACCCTTCAGAATTTGGAGTTTATTGCCTTATCAAACAATAGAATCAGTGGGAAAATTCCAGAGTGGTTATGGAGCCTTCCTCGTCTAAGCTCAGTGTTCATTGGAGATAATATGTTAACTGGTTTCGAAGGTTCATCAGAAGTATTAGTAAATTCATCGGTGCAGATCTTAGATTTGGATTCAAATAGTTTAGAAGGAGCACTTCCGCATCTACCGCTCTCTATCAGCTACTTCTCTGCAAAAAACAATAGTTTCACAAGCGACATACCTCTTTCAATCTGCTACAGAAGCTCGCTTGATATCCTTGATCTAAGCTACAACAACTTCACCGGTCTAATTTCTCCATGTCCGAGTAACTTCTTGATTTTGAATCTCCGGAAGAACAACTTGGAAGGAAGTATTCCAGACAAGTATTATGCCGATGCACCTCTACGGACACTTGATGTTGGCTACAATCGATTAACAGGGAAGCTTCCAAGGTCTCTGCTAAACTGCTCAGCTCTACAGTTTATAAGTGTGGACCACAACGGAATCAAAGATACATTCCCTTTCTTCCTCAAGGCTTTACTAAAATTGCAAGTCCTTATCCTCAGTTCAAACAAATTCTATGGTCCTTTATCTCCTCCTAATGAAGGTCCTCTGGGATTTCCTGAGCTGCGAATACTTGAGATAGCTGGTAATAAATTAACCGGAAGCTTGCACCCAAATTTTTTTGTGAATTGGAAAGCATCATCACGCACGATGAATGAAGATCTGGGTCTATATATGGTATATGACAAGGTTGTTTACGGGATCTATTACCTATCCTATCTGGAAGCTATAGATTTACAATATAAAGGTCTATCTATGAAGCAAGAGAGGGTTCTTACTTCCTCAGCCACCATTAATTTTTCTGGAAATAGACTTGAAGGAGAAATTCCTGAATCTATCGGTCTCTTAAAGGCACTGATCGCACTCAACTTATCGAACAACGCCTTCACAGGCCATATTCCTCTATCGTTGGCCAATCTTGTGAAGCTCGAGTCACTAGACCTATCAAGTAACAAACTCTTAGGGACTATTCCTAATGGCCTAAGGACTCTCTCGTTTTTGGCGTACATGAACGTGTCTCACAACCAACTCACTGGTGAAATACCACAAGGAACACAAATAACTGGACAACCTAAATCGTCCTTTGAAGGAAATGCAGGGCTTTGTGGTTTTCCTCTTGAAGAAAGTTGCTTTGGGACTAACGCGCCACTAGCACAGCAGACTAAAGAAGAAGAAGATGAAGAAGAGGAACAAGTGTTGAATTGGAAAGGCGTGGCATTAGGTTATGGGGTTGGAGTGTTACTTGGATTGGCAATAGCACAACTCATTGCTTCATACAAACCGGAGTGGCTTGTTTGTCTGTTTAAGAGCAGAAACCGTTAAGATCTTTTTTGGTTTTGAGTTTCAACCTTCAATGTTTATCATGTTGTTGTTGCTATTGTATTGAAGCATTTCCTTAAGTTTGTTGTATCTTTATCTGATGTGTTTGTTCTGTTTTGTTTTCTATAAAGTAAGAGTGGTTTAGATTCGAAGAAACCATTTCATCACCATTAGCACAAAGACCTAATCTAGAAATATATGCAAACCGCAGCAGCTTAAATCTCTTTCCAAATATATTCATACCCTAAAGGATCATATTTCATTATCCCTAACAAAATCAAATGAAAAACCTATAAAAACTAAAAAAAAAAGAGACCACGAAAACAGAACAAAAAAAGAAGGGCGTATACCTCGGGCAGAGTTTCCCATCAGCTTGGTATAATTCCTCAACGTAATCTTCTTCTTCTTCTTTCAAATTATTAAGCACACTTGAAGCCATGACAAACCGAGAGGACTATGACCTTAATCCTCATGTTCTGAAACCACATCTTTCTTGTCATTTTCGTTCCTGGCCCTCTGAAATCTTGTGCCTGTAGATATCAGAATTCGAAATATAAGAGTATGCCAATTAGAAAGGAGATATGTTTGTATCAAAAAGCTCACTTATGAGTGAACGGTAAGTTACTAACCTGTGAACAAAGGTTCTCGGATTTTGTCCACTAGAAGCTCAATTTTTCAATCACTGCAGTCAAGAAGACCCTGCAAGTTAATGAATTACATAAACCTCAGTCAGTTTCGCAAAAGTGTGAAAGGAGCAGAGAAAACTCAAGTCGTATATGACATGTATTCTCAAATGAATGATATAAAATTGTGAGATTGACATGGATATATGATTCAGACATTCTCAATGTTCTCCGTCATAACACATTTCACATCGGTCACTTGAGCCTTTACCTTTGCAAGTTTGTTGATCTCCTCAGGTCAATATTTGGATTTGAATAAGACGGTAACACAATGACAATTTAATTTAATTATACTAAATCAACCGTCACTTTTTTAATAACTGCAACATTCTCCTTCTGACACGTGGCAAAACTCTCAAATTTTGGTCTTCCACTTTCGTAAACCACAATTTTATTATTTTTTAAAAAATTGTTTTGTTTATTCTTTACTTTATCGAGAACTATTTTTTCGTTTCATACAGTTATGATTTATTTCATTCCATTACCCCTTTGATCGCTTCCACTCTCCCAAAATAACTATTTTTTTTGTTTATTTTGGTTATGTTAAAGATATTTCTGATTGGATCTCTGGTTTTACCTCTTTGTATATAAAATAGAATACACAAGAACAATCCATAGGAGCATAATCGGAAAGCAAAGAATGATAGACCGTTAATGAATTTGTAAGATGCTTCTCATAAGCAACTATTCTTATTCTTATTACTTATTTTATAACTAACTAGATCGAAATCCGCGCTATGCTGCGGGGTTTTTTTAAAAAATTAATTTTGAAGAAATTGTTTGATAACAAGTGGTTTTTAGAAAACAACATGCATGAAGTGAATTTAACAGATAATTTAAGTCTCAAGTAATTTTTGTAGATAAAATTTGTTATAATATAAGTATTTATGGTAGAAATTTAAAAGGTTTCACGAAATTTTGTATTTTACCTTTACACGTATATTAGTTGTTTTTATTTTATAAGTTTATATATAAATACATTAGTAAATAACTTTTATATCTTACTTTTACGGAATCAATATACCTTATAATCAATTTTTGTGATTGTTTGTTTTATTTTACGTTTTATTATATGTTTAATTTCTTACAAATATTAGATTTTTTATATTGTGATATATATAAATATTTTTTTCAGCGACTATTATACTTCAGAACCTTAGATTATTTTTGTTAAACTCATTTATGGTACACAAGCAATATTTGAATCCTACTAAAAGTATTTTAATATACCTTTTGTTTTAATAAATATTTTTTTGACCATTAAATCAAAATAATTAATACGCGAAGTTTTTTGTGTGTATTTTTTTCGTTAGAAGCTGAACACTATGAACAAGTTTTTAACTTTAAAACAATTCGATTTTCGAATTAGATCAGATCAATATTATTATGGGTCGACATTTTAACCGAACGAAACCAAACCTAGCAAACCAAACTCAAACAGATCCAAACCAAACCATAACTTACATTCAAACTATTTGATTATATTTCTTATCAACCCAAACAACCCAATCTATTTATTTATTTAATTAAATAATAATGTTGTAAATACTATTATGTAATGCCTTACCAACGTTGCACTTGATTTAGAGCGTTAGATATTTTTTTCATTTTTAATTAATAAAATCTAAAATTAGATTAATTTTGTTTAAAAATCTCTACTTTTAAATTTCTTTAAGAATACACAACTAAAACCAAACCGAACCGAACAGAATATAAATCGATCTGAACACAAGCCAAATCATATCGAGGGGTTTTATAGTTCAAGTTTTGATCATTTTGTTAGAAAAAGTCTTTAAAAGATCATATTTTTTTATGATATACATATAAATGTTTGTCTTCTATTAAAGCTTAAACTTTTTACCAAACCCGATAGTTAGTATTTGGATTGTCTCTTTCTACCATTAATAAAATTATCTAACTGTCAATAAATATTATGAAAATAAAACTACTTTTGAATTCTAAAACAAAAGATTAATGACTTGAATTGTTCCTTTCTTTGAATGAAATGAGAGTTATATTATTTGTATTTGTTGTTATATCTCTGAAATTATGTACACTAAATCAACAACTGAACTTTTAGTCGCCTCAAGTATATTCTATAATTCCAAACTCCATTTTTTTATTTTTTTATTCAAATTAAACTATATAAAGTCTAAAGGAACATGGCTGCATGTGTTTGATTATTTATCGTGCCAATTGTTTTTTGAATTTCTAAGAAGCTCCAAGAGCTTCAATCAAACCCGTGAGCTATTTTTTAGATTTTTTCTCCTTTTTAGTAGAGCTGAAAACATTGAATAATGATTAAAAATCTAACTTTGAGTTTAAGTAAGCAAACTTTCTCCAACTCATTTGCCTATTAGGTCTCTTCTATATCATATCCTCAATTTCTTCTAGATCTCAGCCTTCACAAACCTTCTTTCACCATTCCTCATGATTTTCTCTTTTTTCCTCAATCGACCACTCATATTTTTTTATACATTTAGATCATGGAGTTTTTTTATGTGATTAATTAATTGAGACTTGAAGCTAAAATTACCGGTGAAACAAAACATAGAAATTTATGCACTTTAAGACGAAAAGTAGATGTACTTTTGAAATATTGTTTTTTATTTATTTACAAATTTAAATATTTTTTGCGAGTTTTTTTTTCTTTGTAATTTTCTTTTGGTTTTTGCCTCCATTCGTGAAGCTATCAATTTTATTCTTTTTAAAAGAAACCATGTTATGCATATAAAAAAAAATTATGTTAGCTTACGTATTTGAAAAAACCATATAATTGTGTGACTACCTACGAAATGATTAATAAGCACCTTACGTTAAATTGATTTTCTTAATAGAAATTTAGGCATTGAGCTATTTTATTTTAATTAATTATTAGGTTATTTTTTTAAAAGTTTAAACCAATTGGGCTTGGACTTGGGTTTGGACTTGAGTTTAATTAAATAATTATTTATTGATGTGGAATTGGAAAGAGTTATTATTGGTTGAGAAATCTGAGTTGTATTAATCGAAATGTTTTGATTGGTTGACGATTTTAATGAGGTGTCAGTCCCACAATACTCCAAAATGCTGAGGTGTCAGCACTGGAGAGACTTTTGTTGTTTTAATTGTATTGATATCTGCAAAATTTAAAAACGTTAGCTGATGGTGCAGCTTGGTGTGTAACACATGTATATTAGTAGTTTTTATTTTATAAGTTTATATATAAATACATTAGTAAATAACTTTTATATCTTACTTTTACGGAATCAATATGCCTTATAATCAATTTTTGTAATTGTTTGTTTTATCTTACGTTTTATTATATGTTTAATTTCTTACAAATATTAGATTTTTTATATTGTGATATATATAAATATTTTTTTCAGCGACTATTATACTTCAGAACCTTAGATTATTTTTGTTAAAATCATTTATGGTACACAAGCAATATTTGAATCCTACTAAAAGTTTTTAATATACCTTTTGTTTTAATAAATACTAGGATCGGATCCGCGGTCCACCGCGGGAGAATATTGGTTTACATACGTTGCGTTTAATATTGTATGTGTTTTTTAGTAGAACGAATCGTGTAGTATACTTATAAGTATTCATAATAACGAATTGTAGAGAAAATGTAAAATTGTTTATAAATATACCCATCGTATTAATTATGATTTACAAAATAGAATTTTGTTTTTTAAAATTCTAAAATTAGACGATTCATGGGAATTAGAGCAGTCAAAATAGGTCAAAAACCGCGGGTCGAGCCTACATCATCTCACTATGGGGCAGATTTGGGAAAATATATTAAACCCGCAAATAAGCGGGCCACATGGATTAATTCGCAGTGGGTCATAGGTTTAATCGGTTTTCATCCGCGGGTTGGCGGATCAGCCCGCATATTAGTATTTATTAATAAAATTATAATTTATTCAATATGTGGTAATTTAAACAAACTTTTAATAGTATTTTTATTTATTTTTATTTTAGTAGTATTTTAAATTTTGGTTACTTTAAAATTATTTAAACAAAATCCATGGACAATCCCGCAAATCCGCATACATTCGCGGGACGGGTTTGTATTTCATATATGCTACCCGCGGGTAGTGCGGACCGACTAACACAAGTCAAAATATTTTTTGTCTATCGCAAAACGGACTTAACGGGACGAATCAACTCGCTTTGACAGTTCTAATGGGAATATTATTTAGTCATACAACAAAATGAAGTTTGGACATAGTAATAATAGAATATGTATCTTATTTGTTAGATGAGAGATTGAAAGATGAAGTATAATGATTAAAAATTAATTATTATTTTTCATGATTCACAAAATTTAATAAATACTTAGCATCTTGTTGAATAATTCTAAAATCATATTCAAAAAATCTTTATAAATTGAAAATTAAACTTCTTTGGTAAGCTATAGGTATGAAAATATCATAATTTTGATTTAATCTAATTAAATTAAAATTAGTTACATGAATTTCATATCTATTTAATTTACACGACCAAAATAAAAATATCTATTTAATTTATACGACCAAAATAAAAATATCAATTTAATTTATAAAACAGATGTGTTATTTGTGATAGATTTTCTAGAAATCTTTAGAAGCAAATAAAATATCTTTCAATTAATGATAATTGGCTAAAATGAGCGAAATTAATGACAAAAACGTTGATTGTTATTGAATTAGTCCCAAAAATATATGAACAAATTTATTATACGTAATTAATGTATAATATTGTTCGGAATATGCTTTTATTATTAGTTATCATAAGTACAATCAGATTTTATTTGATTTCCATAAATATTTGATTTTATTTCGATTTTTCATTTTTAATTCGAATTTATATTCCAAAAAAATTTCAAAGATCCGATTTCAGAATTTCGGGTCAATTTTCTGATTTTAACCCGACCCATTTTCATTTGTACTTCTCTTTTAATAGTATAGAGATTTTTTTGACCATTAAATCAAAATAATTAATACGCAAAGTTTTTTGTGTGTATTTCTTTCGTTAGAAGCTGAATACTATGAACAAGTTTTTAACTTTAAAACAATTCGATTTTCGAATTAGATCAGATCAATATTATTATGGGTCGACATTTTAACCGAACGAAACCAAACCTAGCAAACCAAACTCAAACAGATCCAAACCAAACCATAACTTACATTCAAACTATTTGATTATATTTCTTATCAACCCGAACAACCCAATCTATTTATTTATTTAATTAAATAATAATGTTGTAAATACTAATATGTAATTCCTTACCAACGTTGCACTTGATTTAGAGCGTTAGATATTTTTTTTCATTTTTAATTAATAAAATCTAAAATTAGATTAATTTTGTTTAAAAATCTCTACTTTTAAATTTCTTTAAGAATACACAACTAAAACCAAACCGAACCGAACAGAATATAAATCGATCTGAACACAAGCCAAATCATATCGAGGGGTTTTATAGTTCAAGTTTTGATCATTTTGTTAGAAAAAGTCTTTAAAAGATCATATTTTTTTATGATATACATATAAATGTTTGTCTTCTATTAAAGCTTAAAATTTTTACCAAACCCGATAGTTAGTATTTGGATTGTCTCTTTCTACCATTAATAAAATTATCTAACTGTCAATAAATATTATGAAAATAAAACTACTTTTGAATTCTAAAACAAAAGATTAATGACTTGAATTGTTCCTTTCTTTGAATGAAATGAGAGTTATATTATTTGTATTTGTTGTTATATCTCTGAAATTATGTACACTAAATCAACAACTGAACTTTTAGTCGCCTCAAGTATATTCTATAATTCCAAACTCCATTTTTTTATTTTTTTATTCAAATTAAACTATATAAAGTCTAAAGGAAAATGGCTGCATGTGTTTGATTATTTATCGTGCCAATTGTTTTTTGAATTTCTAAGAAGCTTCAAGAGCTTCAATCAAACCCGTGAGCTATTTTTTAGATTTTTTCTCCTTTTTAGTAGAGCTGAAAACATTGAATAATGATTAAAAATCTAACTTTGAGTTTAAGTAAGCAAACTTTCTCCAACTCATTTGCCTATTAGGTCTCTTCTATATCATATCCTCAATTTCTTCTAGATCTCAGCCTTCACAAACCTTCTTTCACCATTCCTCATGATTTTCTCTTTTTTCCTCAATCGACCACTCATATTTTTTTATACATTTAGATCATGGAGTTTTTTTATGTGATTAATTAATTGAGACTTGAAGCTAAAATTACCGGTGAAACAAAACATAGAAATTTATGCACTTTAAGACGAAAAGTAGATGTACTTTTGAAATATTGTTTTTTATTTATTTACAAATTTAAATATTTTTTACGAGTTTTTTTTTCTTTGTAATTTTCTTTTGGTTTCTGCCTCCATTCGTGAAGCTATCAATTTTATTCTTTTTAAAAGAAACCATGTTTTGCATATAAAAAAAAAATTATGTTAGCTTACGTATTTGAAAAAACTATATAATTGTGTGACTACCTACGAAATGATTAATAAGCACCTTACGTTAAATTGATTTTCTTAATAGAAATTTAGGCATTGAGCTATTTTATTTTAATTAATTATTAGGTTATTTTTTAAAAAGTTTAAACCAATTGGGCTTGAACTTGGGCTTGAACTTGGGCTTGGACTTGGGTTTGGACTTGAGTTTAGTTAAATAATTATTTAGTGATGTGGAATTGGAAAGAGTTATTATTGGTTGAGAAATCTGAGTTGTATTAACCGAAATGTTTTGATTGGTTGACGATTTTAATGAGGTGTCAGTCCCACAATACTCCAAAATGCTGAGGTGTCAGCACTGGAGAGACTTTTGTTGTTTTTATTGTATTGATATCTGCAAAATTTAAAAACGTTTTTATAAAAGAATGTGCAAATTTCCATCTATTTTTGTATTTTCCAGTTCTCTTATGGAGTCGGGAATTTGGTCTTGAAATTGCATTCTGAAATGTTCATCTTTATTACTTAATTTTTTTTTGTACTTCATTCTTATTGTAAGATTATGAGTTTACATAAAATTTACAAATATCATGGTTAAGATTTTTTTATTGTAATTAAAATTCTTACATTTATGTTTACTAAAATGAATAGTGTGATTACTCAATACAAAAGTGTTGAAGATTGGTTTTTATGGAGGATTGTTCACACAGTGACAAGAAGGGCTCAGGAGATGAAGAACTATTAGGATTTGCATTGATTTTCACATTCCCAAGCAAGATTAATGGTTTCATAGGTTCAGCAGTCTCTTATTTTGATCTTTGCTCTTTTTAAACAAAAAACTCATGTCCACAAATTATTAACTTTAAACTAAATTTCCCTTTCGTATAGTTTTGTCCCTGCAAAGCAAGGGCATAATACTAGTACTAATATAAACCATAAGCTTATTTTTTTATAGTCAATGGAAGTTTGTTCAAGCTGCTCAAAATATATTCTTCTCTATTTATGATATTGCTGCCAAATTATTTACCTCAATAGATTTTTTAAAAAGCTATCTACCTAATGCTTCCTTAGAAGGATTTTCATAAATATTAAGCTATCCTAGTTATTCTCATTGTATTTGTTGTTGTACATATGTAACCAAAAACAAAGTGTTGGAATTTTTGTTTGGTTGTAGCAAAGGAAATTTTCACTTCCATTTAAGAAAAGCTTCAAATACAATTGCCTTCTCAGTTCTCACAAACAAGCCAATACATAAGCTGAATGGAATCAGAACACCAAGAAACAGAGATCAAGATAAATCCAACAGAGAGACATGCATCAATACGTAAAATAACAAAAAAAAATTATAATCCATCAATGGAAACCTTAACAAAGCAGAACGAATCCATAAATATACATGTGAATGTCACTGATACAGATAGAATATGAGCAAATATAGATACAGTGAAATCGATTGCAATACGAACATAAATATACATATAAGTCTACCAAATACATCGAAACTATGCCTTCAAAAGAGCGAAATCGAAACTCATTTTTACGCGAATCCAGGCACAAACAGAACGTGTTCGGATTGAGAAAGGAGACTCAAAGAAGCCATTTTCGACGAGAGAATTGAAGAAACTACAATTGTAAGAAAATTGGTATCGAAGAAGGCAGCTTCTGGAGACACTACTGTGCAGTGACGGAAGTAAAATTCTCTTTGAACTTGGTACTCTCGCCGATATTTTTTACTTTGTCAAATTAATTTTTAGTTTTAACGCATTTTTTCCTCTATAGGAAAAATTCCAGAAAAACTCGAACTATTTAGTATTTATCGAAAAAACGTGTATTTTTTTCCGTTGTCGGAAAAAACCCAGACTATTTTACAGCTAACAAAACAAACACAAACTATCATTTTTTTTCTTTTTTCTTCGGTCGTTAACGGTTTTATATATATATATATATATATATATATATATATATATTTCCCTTTGTTTTAACAAACAACCCTTGTTTGTGGAATATGAAATAAGAAAAAAGAAAGCTAATTACCACTAAACAAATCATCCGTGAATCCGTGATAATACACATAATATATAAATTCGAAATTTTTTTATTTAATATACAAAATATATTTTTATTCAGATTTAATATTAGAATTTTTGAAATAATTCTTTTTGGTATATTTTTTTTGTTAAGAATGTAAATATTCATTTCAAAATGAATGTTAAGGTTACACAAAAAAATTATAACCAATTTTATGGTCCCATGCCAAAAAAATTTAAAAAACATGGTAGCATACACATTGTTGATTAAAACTTCAATTCAATCCTTAAGCAAACAAATGCTCTTGGAAGAGAAGAAGAACGGATTGAAACAAGATCTGAAGAATCTCTAAAGTGGAGCTGGGAAAAAAAACAAGAACGAAAGAGAGAACAAGGTACATTTAAGAATATTCAAATATGTTTGCCAATTAGAGTTCGAATAATCAAAATAAATAAGATGACAAAAAAAAAATCAAAATAAATAAGAAGTAATATATGAAAATATATGTTTTTTTTTTTTGGTGAGATATGAAAATATATGTTTGACAAAGAAATTGATAGGATTAACGAGAAAAAAATGTCATTATAATTAGGGACGATTGGTGCAGAGACAAAAATGGAGAGTGTAATTAGGAAATCGACAAATGTCGATTTTGTCGGAGACGAAAAAAAAAATAACGCTCTAAATGACCATCGTTTCCAAAAGAATTACAGAAAAACCTGTTGAATTTTTTCTCATGCGAGTGTGAGGACGCTTTGACTTTTATGAGAGAGAAATATTGAACTGACAAACATGAAATGCTCAGCACGTGAACTGATGCTTACCAAACTAACAATAATTATTGTTTTTTCGAATTGGAGCAATTTTAACACGCTACAAACATATATTCCACCATTTTAACATTTGTACACATGTAACTACATAAATAGAGCGTAAAAGTAATTATAGTTTTAAATTATTGGATCTATGTATTCATGTAAATACGTACATATATATATATTATAGCGTTATTAACATTTGTATATATGTATACACGTACATGGAGCGTTATTAACATGTTTATACATATAAACACGTACATGGAGCGTTATTAACATGTTTATACATATAAACACGTACATGAAGCGTTATTAACATGTTTATACATATAAACATGTAGATAGAAAGTTATTAACATTTGTATCACATCTAAATACGTAGATAGAACGTCGTTAACATTTGTATACATAAATCTACTTAGTTTTTTGGATATCCAAAACCTATTGATGTGTTTGTTTTTATATTGAGACGTAAGTCGTTTGTCTGACGTAATGAACCTTCTCTTGCAAAACACTTTAAGCGCATAGGGGTAATTTTGGGAGAAAAGTGGGCTAATGTTATTTTTGTTATGGACTCCGACAAGAAAAAATGAAAAACTAATTAGATCCCAAAACCTTTGTCTTTTGGCCAATTATCTCTTATAATTATAACCGCAATCACATAAAAGGTTCTATTGTTTTTAACTATATGCCTAATTGCCTATATAGACAACGTGGGACAATTATAGTTTTACGCCCAAGCATCCGTGGTCTAGTTGCAGAGGAAGCTTTGGGAAAGGGTGAAACTCCCAAACCTGAGTTCGATTCTCCCGGGAAACAAAAACACATTTGTTTGGGAAGTCTGTCAGTTGGGCTTTGGCCCAATTGGTTTACCTGGTAGCCAGAAATGCAGGCGGCCTGACTACCCCTGGCACTTAGTCGGAAGGCATTCCAAACTCGGGATAGGCAGAATGGTAGCCCATAAGGGCATAACCGTTAACACGGTAGACCAGTCCACTATGTAGTACCTCGGTGTGTTCCTACCGGGGCCGACCGGATAGCCGATGGGGTTTATCAAAAAAAAATTATAGTTTTACTAAACCAGCGACATGCCTGAGATTTGTAGAGTTTCATGTCACAACATAAAACCTGTTATAACTTATTACTACAAAAAGGCCCGAAACAGAACCAAACAAACAAAAGAAAGGCCTTGTTTGGTCAAAATCTCAGGCCCAGAATCCGGAGAGAGAGGGAGAGAGAGTCGCATACTGCGTCGAGGAGAGAGAGAGAGAGAGAACGAAAAAAAAACATCAACGAGAACTCAATTTTTTTTTTTTTTTCTCCCGAGAGGGAAACCAAAATTGAAAACGAAAAATTGCTGAATTAGGAATCAATCTCGCAACAAGCAAAGCAATTTTCATGGATTCAATGTTTTGGGAGGAGCTTCTTCTTCTCTTGTTTCCTCTGAGAAATTGATTTTCGTCTTTTGATTTGAAAAAAAAGCTTTAGAAGAAAGAGGTGTTTTTGGAAACCCTAGGAGAGAGAAACTAATTTTAGAATTTGGTGATTTTGCCCGAGTTTTGTGCCCTAGCTTTTTGCCTTCGTTGTTCTGTTCTACGTTCACTTCCCAGGTTAACTCTCTTCTCCTTCACTCTTCTATTGAAACCCTAGAGTCCAGCTTTGCTGGAGCTTCTGTGATTTTGAACGTTTTTGGTGCAGTTCTGCTATTTTGATCAGGAATGTGAACTGTTTTGCTGAAATTTCGTCTTTGTTTCTGCTCGTTTAGCTTCGAAATGTGTGATACTTGATGGAAGAGTGAATGGGGATGCCATTAAGTAGCTTAAGCTGATCATTTCTAACTTTGGTTCTTCGTAAGACTTCAGCTTTGCGAACCTCTCTGCCTTTAGGCAACATTTGGTTTCTTTGGTATTTTAGTTTCATTCATCTAGCATTATACTGGAATTCGTAATTTGAGCTCTTTATCGGTTATGCTGCTTCTCTACATCTAATCTTCTCGGGGATCAGAATGGGGAGTTATCTTAACCTTGATAAAGATTCTCTATCAAATACTAGAATTTGGGGAGTTATCTTCACTTTGATGTTCCTTTGGATAGTGGCTCGAACATTTAGCTGTTATTGATTCTAACTTGTGCAGTATGATCATTAGGAATGCTGTAAATACTGAGAGCTTTTTGATATTATTTTTTTCAGTTAAGTTAGAATTCGTTGATGGGGTATTTGAGGTGGTGATGCATGGAAGCGTTTCAGGATTTCTTCTAGTAAATGCTCAGGTTGATTCCATGGGAGGAGTTATTGATAGTGGAGGTGGTATTGGTGTCAAAACTTCTCCGCGCCGAACAGCAATTGAGAAGGCTCAAGCGGAGCTAAGGTATTTCAGATTGAGACTTCTGGATCTTCTGCAGTATGTTTAAATGCTCTATAATTTCTACAGCTATCAATCACTTCCAATGTGTAACAAAGATGCTTGTTTCAACTTTCAACAGGCAAGAGTATGATGTCCGTGAGGAAAGGAGGAGAGAACTGGAGTTTCTGGAAAAAGTATGAATACCTATTTCCCTGTTCTCTTTTTTTTTTGGTGTGTAAGAACTTATGATGATAAGCCTTTACTCTTCTATCTGCTTTAGGGCGGTAATCCCTTGGATTTCAAGTTCGGTATTGCAACTTCACATAGCGTCCAATCTACATCACTCACAGATCAGCAAGCAGAGCATTTTATAAACAGGTACATTCGTGTTTGTTGTAGTTCCCCATTAATTTCATGGATTAACTCATCAATATTTACCCATAACCCCCCACAGTGAAGTCAAGGATAGTTTTGCCCTGACTGCCTCACCACATGGAGACTCTGTGGAGAGTAGCGGTAGACCTGGAGTTCCTACAATTTCTGAACCTAATACAGCAGATAATCTTTTACTGTTTGATTCTGAAAACAAGTCAGTTGAAGGAGAAAGAAATTTGAGATATCCTAATAGGCAAAACAGAACT